AATCTAGTTGAATAATTTGACTTACTTTTTCAGTTTAATAACCCAACATGAGTTAGATATTAGTTCATCAAAGAATAAAGTGTTCTTGAATTTAGCTCTTTGGTAAGAAAAGTAACCAATATTTTCATAAATGTTATTTCACAATCTCCTTACTTGGTAGGATCAGATATAACATCCTCATTAGTTTCTGGAATAACTGGGATACTTTCTTCATCTGCATTATCATCAGTAACATCATAAATAATGATGTCATCTGAAATCCGCTCCCTTGGTTTTAAACCTTCAGTCCTACTGTGTGGAACCTAAAAAATCAGGGAGAAAAAAAATATATAAAAAAATAAAATTATATTAACTACAACACATTATTATTTAAAAATGCTAATTGGGAACCTACTATTTACTAAATGTTGAGACTACAATAGCAAGCAAAACAAATATGTTCTCTGCCCTTCTTGGATTTATACCCTAATTAGTATTAGTAGTACAGAGGTATGAGGCATAGTCTCTGCATTCTACTTAACTTTTTTCTTTTAACTATAAGGGACCTTGAAGATGACATGCCTCAGAATGCTTATATGGAAAGATCTTCAAATTTTAAAGTATATTTCCATACCCAAAGAACAAAAAAGTCAGGATTTCACCAGAAATTTTCAAGCATAACCACAGGGGTGCTGTATTGATGGGAACTATTTCATCCCAAAATACTCTGTTTGACACATATTTTATTCTTACTCATTAAATGGTTTCAAAAATCAGAAAAAAAACCACTTCAACTATTCCAGTTAAATGTCAGCCTGGCATTTTAGTAATTTTTTTTTTTTTTTTGAATTTAGCTACATTCAGACCATAGGTACATTGACAAAAAAAGCATTCAATTCTTTAAAGCAAACTAAACTCATTAGTATAATGCAAAAATCTATCAATTTTAACACTAGATAATACAGAGGCAGAAGATATAAAGTATTTAAAAATATATAAATCCAGTTAAATTAAAAATCTTCATTCTCTTATAAGAATCTTCAATCCTAAAAACAAAATATTAGGTGTGCTTGATTAGAAACAGTGGTGGGAACAAGGAACCATGTTACGTTAACTCTGATTTTCCTGAGAACAAAATCTTGAAACTTCAATAATAAATGTCTTAATAGTATTTAAAATTCTAAGACTTGAAAGTAACAATGATAATCAGATACTAACGAAGTCTGGACTCTGTTAATAAAATTTAGTTTGAGATAATAAATATAAAATAGAATTTAACTAAAAAAATTACTTTATGATGGTGATTATCAGCTGGTTCTTTGACTATGTGCTGAAACAGATTCTTCTTTTGGGCTCCATTAGTGTTCAGAAGTAGAGGTCTGAAAACGAGAAGATATCCATGAGTTCAGTGAAGCAAACATACAAGGAATTTAAACTGCTTCCAATAATTTATCTACATACCAACACAATCATGTTAATAATGAATAAAAAATTTAAGTGAGGATACAAAGAAACCCTTAAAAATGATTATATCTTAGAAATAGTAACTGAGGGATGAGTGTGCCTAAAACTTTTATTTCTCCATTCACCTGTACTTTTGCTATAATAAATGTAATAAACTACTTTCTCCAGATATACTTTTACTGAACTATATTATTCTTTAAGAACTGTGCTTACATGTTAAAAAATAAATAGGTAATATAAGATCTAGTTAGTGGAAGTAGAGTTAGTTAAGGCCACAGCATAAGCTGTGAACATAACCAAGCTCTGCTAAACTCTTAACCCTTCAAGACAGTTTTTTCTCCTTCCAAATATTCCTTTGTCTACATTTTAAAAAATATATCAGTTGTGACAATGGTAGTTACTGATAATTATAGGTATCACAACCCACGGTTGACATACAGGCTTTTAAAGACCCTTATGAGTAGACTAAACATAAGATCAGGTAAAAAAAAAATTAGATTATTTTGCCCTAGCCTGTTTGGCTCAGTGATTAGAGTGTCAGCCCTTGCACCAAAGGGACGCAAGGGTTTGATTCCTTGTCAAGAATATGCACCTGGGTTGCAGGTTCAATCCCTGGCCCCAGTCGGGGTGCATATGGGAGGCCACCAATCAATGTGTCTCTCTCTCTCATTCATGTTTCTCGCTCTCTCTCCCCCCGCCTTGCCTCCCTCCCTCCCTTCCACTCTCTCTAAAAAAAAAAAAAATCAATGGAAAAAATATCCTCGGATGAGAATTAGCAAATAACAACAAAACTGGTGTTTATTTTTTTAAAGATAGGGACTTTTTAAAAGAACTTCCCTCAGGTTTTTAATGACACATTATAAATTGCCAATGTGAATGAAATATGGATTTTTTTTATTAACTATATGTGTCTATAAAATGACCATTTAGGTTATCCTTATCTTTCAAAAACGTGAGCAGGATAACAGCACTAGGAAATGACACGCTCTTGAAATGTGAGTGTAATTTAATGAGGGAGCACTGTTCATCCAAAACAACAGGCATACACTACGCAAAAGTAGGCCATTCATGGTTAAATACTAAAATTTTTGGTTGTCCATATATAGATCAAAATGTTTTACCATAAAAACTTACCTTTTACGTTTTAAACTTACAAGCTGGTTATTCTGAACCAATGTAACAATAAACTGCACAATCTAGAAAAATAAATAAAAAATTTTTCCATCATAAAGAACTCCTAGTTCTTTAGTCTACATTACTGGTCTTACAAAATTAACTCAAGTATTTCATGTCCTCTATTCTAAGTCACATAATTTCTCATATAATACATTTGAAATTGGGATGCATCTTAAAATTGATATAAAAAAATATATACCAGCTTCCAGGCAGAAGAATAACCTGTGATAAAATAACTACTACCTAGGATAAAGGGATGCCTGACACACCGGTCTATCCTTCCACCTATCCAATATTCAGTTCAGTTATTTGTTTTGGTGATAAGGATCAAATGTAAAAATACATTTACACTTAAAGATATCTTTGAAATCATTCAACTTCAATTATTTTTTTTTAGTTTATATAAAAGTGTTATGTTTCAAATTCTAAAAACATTAGTAATTGAGTTTATAAGAACACGAATCACTGGCTAAATTTCTTCTGAAATTTGTTCTACACCTCAGTTCTCCTTTTACACTTCTACACCACACTACAAAGTTTGTAACCTGACGAAGATGAGGCATCTAAGAGTAAACGGTAGAGTTAAAAACCAATTCCAGGAACAGGAAAAAATGACTGGCTATCATCATGCATTATATAAACTCCCTAACCCTCACCAAAACACACAGATTCAAACTCAAATCTGAGCAGATAGAATGTTAGCTTTCATGAAAACCTGAAATGTTATAGAAGTATTTTACAAACTATTCTTGCCATTAGAAAAAGAAAAAAAAGCCAACAAATTATGGAGTATTGTAAGTTAATATTTAACCAAAATACTATTTTCTGAAAAAAGAGGAACAGAGTTTTACAATAAAGTACAGGTTAAGGTACATTATCATTTAAAATCAGGTATTCTTAACAGGACTGTGGGTTGAAATTAGCTATGGAAGTTTTGAAAATGTATGTACATGGACTTATAATTGAATTCTACATTCAATCTTCACTTGCATTAATAATTATTTAAAAAATAACCTATTTTCACTATAGGCCAAAGGGTGTAACTACCATTCATCTCTTTTCTAAGCCTGTTCCACTAGATTCAAATCCTGTCAGTCATAATGCTATTTTTAGCTAAAGACCTCTGAGCATGAACAAGCTGAAGCTCTCCCACTTCTCCCTCAAAGGAAAAAAAATAAATAAAATCTGTTGCGTTTTAAACTTAAGAATCCAGTTTATTTATGAGCAAAAAACAGCTACCTTACTTTTTTCACCTCTTATTAACATATGAAAGCTGATATGAACAGATTAAGTCACAAGAATACAATGCAACAGAGAGACTTCTGTTCTTCCAGTAATTTTCAGCTCAGATACTAAAATCTAGGATTTATTTTACAACACTGTATTAACTGCTTTTCTGCAGACTAATAATGATATATTGATAACTCATTTTTTGGAACTCATAATTTGGTCAACTGATTTGAAAATATTAGTAATTTATCTTCCGAACCTGTATCCATGCCTTTTAGAGTAAAAAAAATAGTAAAACCAACAAACAAATCAACAAAACCCCCACAAAGTAAGGCTTTGCTTTTTATAATAAAGTAAAAATTGTGTAAGAAATTGGTAATGTATTAATTATGCTTCTAAGAGTAAAGTATTTTAAAGTTGTTCTATCAGGCAAAAGGTTCTTTATTAAAAGCTAATGACATATTAACTGGGAGCATGGAATAACCATATTTAGCTAATGAAAAGTTTTTTATAAAAAAGAATATTAACACTTGGCCTGATTTGTTTGATTTCATAGTTTTACTTCTATCTGTGCACCCAATATATGAGACTAAAATCAATCACTGACTAGTCAATAGAGAATTCTTTAGGTCACAAATGGTACTCACTGAACAAACGCAATTACAGTCATTGGGGAAAAAGCTTACCTTTCGAATAACTTGTTGCTGTTGTGCGTGTTTTGCTCGTAATTCTGACACCTCCTTCCAAAGGGACTCATTCTCACTGTGTTATCATTTATTAAAAACAAATAAAAAAATTCAGTCAGAAAGCCAGGCCTCAGTATCTTTAATTAAGCATATCAGAGAACACCATAGATACAGAGAACAAGCTGATGGCTACCAAAGGGGAGGGGGAGTAAAGGCATGGGAATAAAAATTTTTTTAATTAAAAATAAAGATTAAAAAAAATAACAGAAAATTTAACTAGTTTTAATTACATATTTTTATGAGACTAGAAAATCTTTGGTTCAATTATATAGATGGCAACCATCTTGGCACAAATCCAGAATCATTCCTTCATAACTGTAGTAGCTTCTGCTTATGGCACTATATACACAAAACTTAAGACTCATGCTTATATTCATATAGTAGTAGGCAATTTATTCTTCTGACAATCTGGTTCATTACTTCTCATTTAAGCTAAACTTTCAACTATGGCTACCAAGTGAATTCAGTATTTGTGCTTAGGAAACAATTCTTAAAGGGAAGTGACATTTACCTAGCACTTGCTATGCTCTAGGCACCATGCTCAGCATTTTATATGTACTAGTTATTTAAACTTCTCTCAAATCCATCCTGAAGGGATTATCTCTATGTTATAGATGAGGACACTGAGACTCAAAGAGTTGAGAAGACTTGCCCAAGATCACACAGATAATATGCTAAGTGTTAAAGACAAACTAAAGTCTGTCAGACTCTAAAACTGTCTATCTTAAGATGTCTCAAAAACAAGCATATGAAAACACTAAAAAATATTTGTTTTTTAAAAGCATATTCAAATATATGACAAACCAATAACTGGACCAGTAGTAATAGTTTCTTTTTCTTCATTCAACATATATTGAAATTGCATTGTTATTAAATGTCAGCAGCAACAACACTAAGAAGACATTAAGGATAATCTACGTACTAAATGTTTAATTTTCATTCTTTTTTTAATTTCCACAAAAGCCATCTTCCTCAATCCAAACTATTACAAAAAGAACTGGATTTACAAATAGAGGGTGTTGAAAATGTGACTCTTTAATACTTACTGAAAAAATACTGTACTTTTTCTGACTCAGAATTATTTAAAGATACTGTAATCTGCCTAAGACTTAAAGAATAAATTTGAGATCCCATTCCTTAAAGACAACCTGAAATTCAAAGAGCTGGGTCAAGGGCACCTCAGTAGACATAAGATACATACAGTAAACCAGCATAAGTAATTAAATAAAATATGCAAAATGGGGAAACTTAAAATTAAGGCTTAGTCAAAAAGGGAATTAAAGTCCATTGTTACTATTTTAATGAAGATACTTAAAAATAAACTAATGGCCCATATTTAAAATAGGAGAGAAAATACACAAAATATCTATTCTCAAGACCTGTACATCTATTAGGATAAGCAAAATCCCACCTTCTTACAAAAAAAAGTAATACACATCAACTCTATATACAAGCTGTTATTATGGCAAGTTAGAATAATGGTGCCAAGAACTGTAGTAAAACAAAACACAGCATTTTTCTGTAGATAAAAGGTTTGAATAATACTTCCTCCAGTGTATGTAAAATAAATATCAAATAGGGCAAGTCTCTTGTGTCCTTTTCTCCCTATTTTTTATGCCCTACTTTTTCAAGAGATAGGTCACACAGAGAAGTAGTTAAAAACCACCATAAAAGAATGGGTAACACATGGAGTACTTTGTGTGCCCTCATATGTATGGATCATATAAAAGCTAACCTATGTAGAATCCTATTTCCTACACCAACTTAAAGATCTATTCTTTCGTCAGTAAGGCACGTGCATCATATTGCTTTGAATGCCCAGGTTTTTGTATTCTTTCGACCACCTTTATGAAAATACAATATTGGGATAAAGTCTATGGCTACAAATAAAGAACAAAAGGGAACCAATACTTACAGAAAAATGATCTTTGATCTTGGTTTCAACATGATCTAAAAGTACTTAAAGCACCAACCTTCAACTCTCAACACACAACACATCAACTCTCCCATATTAGAATTATATTTGGAAATGATACTTTACCTTTTTAACTCAGAAAGCCTGGACTCAATTGTCTCTTGTTTTATTTGAACCTTCTGAGCACTGCTTATAATTTTTGTTAAATCTTCCGGACGAATTTTATTTTCTTCTGGTTTTGAAGATGAAACCTTTCAAAAAGCAAATTTAGGACATCAAACAAATACTAAATGCCATGATTGTAATTCAAAGCTTCCCTCTAAAGAGGTTTTTATAGCCTGTTCAGGAAGTGAGATCCAGTTCCAAAAGGCCCAGGATAGGATTCTAGGGAAAGAATACACTTCGTAGCTCAAAGAGAGAGAATAAGGATTAATCAGTCTATTTTTTTTTTTTTTAATGTGGGTAAGTTTCCACAAGCAGGGACACCTTAGGAGCTCCCCTCCCATTTCCTTCCGTCAAACTCTCTGTAATTTCCCCAAGCCTCTTTATCCCATTCCACATTTAATTAAATTTATGCAGTAATAGCTTCATGCTAGGCCATTTTCTTTCATGGTCCACTACCTTTTTACGGCCCACCCCACCCCCTACCATCTTGGGGATTTGATAAAAATACCTATTTCAGAAAAAAGTTCACTCAAAACTGTATTGTTAAATGCCTGCTGTATGCAAGGGACTTATTCTGAGCATTCGAATTCAGCAGTGAACTACATAAAAAGCCCTCTAGGGAGCTTATATTCTAGTAGGAGTTTACATTTTTTAAGCTAAATTAAAAGGAGTGAGCTATCCCAATATGAATGACTCCTCACCCTCAGTCAGAATGTAAACATTTTCCTTCCCTTTAAAGATGTTTGAGCATTCAATATAGTTTAACACCAGGAAAAAAAAAAAAAAAAAGAAGGGGTAATTAAAATTTTGTTAGTCTAAGTTATCCAACAAAGAACACCAGTGTATTTCTATGCATTAACTTCAACAGTGAAATATAAGTTTTGGCCAAGTATATGACAGGGTAATGCCCCAATTAAATCATGTTAACAATAGCTCACCTTCCTTTTAATGTTCTCCAACAAGTCATCCTGCCCTTGTTTGAAGTAAGGATGCTGAAATTCAACAGGACCATCTCGTTCCTGCTTTACAATTCCAGAGTCAATATGTACTACTTTACGGAAACCATCTGAAAAAGATTCAAAATTTAGATGGCTAAAACGGAGGAAAGTCAAAAATTAATGGTGCTTCTATGCAGCATATTTTCCTAATGGGAAAAAATGGCGTAATCATTGGCTGATGAAAGTACTCTAAATAAACTGCTGTCCATACTCACACATATTCAGTTGTCTTACAAAGCTTGCCATGTTATTGTGCTTGAAATATTTGGGAAGAATTTCTTTTGCAAATCTTTGTTCATCCAAAACCAGAAAACTCTGACCATTCTGAAAAAATAAAAAAGTCAATTAGTTGGAAGGAATTAGTTGAAGTCCTCTGACACTAAATGGTATATATGAACCCCAAACTGGGCAACCCTTTTATGGTAATTCAGATGAACAGTTTATATCTGTTAATGGCAACAAGAAACAAACTCCAATTAAGTGTCAAGCTGCAATTAACCTTTTTCATGTCAACTTCAAAAGCTTTAAGAGTAAGTCTCAAATCAAAACCTGCATCATACTCTATGGTGAAATATTAAAAAAATTTCCATTAAATCAGAAACAAGAAAAATAAATATAATATGTAGCCAGCATAATTATTTACTATTGGTGGTTGGTTTTTTTTATCCTCACTCAAGGAGTAGGATATTTTTTTCCATTGATTTTTTTTTTTAGAAGGAGTGGAAGGAAATGGGGAGGAGGGAGAGAGAAACATCAATGTGAAAAGAGATACAGCAATTGGACCTGCCACCCAGGTACATGCCCTTGACCAGCAATCGAACCCGAGACCCTTTGGTGCATAGGCCTACACTCTAACCACTGAGCCACACAGGCCAGGGCTTAATATTGTTTTAAAGCCAACACAATTAATAAGATATATTTGAGTGAAGTATTATCATTTTTGCAACAGACATAATTATATCTTTGTACAATCAATTGAAAAACTGTAAGAGAATTTAGTAAGGTACCTGGTTACAAATTAATACTTAAAGTCACTAGTGTTCTTCCATACAAAAAAATAAACTGAAACTTACTAGAAAAATACAGTAATCAAAACAGCATGGTACTAGCACAAAGACAGATGAATAGAACAGAACAGAACAGAACAGAACAGAACAGAACCTAGAAATAAATTCTAGCATATACAATCCAAGGATTTTTTTTTATAAGGGTGCCAATGAGGAAAGGACAGTCTTTTCAACAAATGATGTTGAAAATCATGCCAAAGAATGAAGTTTGAATCTTTATCTTATATTACATAGAAAAATTAACTTAAATAGATGAAAGACCTAAACTTAAAATTTTTTTAGAAGAAATCATAAGGACAAGCTTCATGATAATGGATTTGGCAATGATTCCTTGGATAATACCAAAAGCACAAGCAACAAAAGCAAAATAAACAAATGGGGCTACCTCAGACTTAAATACTTTTATGTAAAGAACACTATCAAGAGAGTGAAAAGGCAACCCATGGAACTGGAGATATTTGGAACTTACACATCTTACAAGGGGTTAATATCCATAATACATAAAGAACCCCTACAACTCAACAATGGCAAAAACAATCTAATTAGAAATGGGCAAAGGACTTGAATAGACATTTTTCCAAAGATATACAAATGGCCAATAAACACATGAAAAGATGTCTAATACCACTAATCATTAGGGAAATGAAAAACGAAACCACCACATACCATTTCATAGCCATTAGAATGGTCATTATTAAAACACACACATGGGGGGGGGAAACATACAGAAAACAAGTGTTGGTGAGGATGAAGAGAAATTGGAATCCCTGTGCATTGCTGGTGGAAATGTAAAATAGTGCAGCCACTATAGAAAACAGTATGGTGGTTCCTCAAAAAATTAAAGAGAATTACCATATAATTCTATTTCTATGTATATACCCAAAAGAACTGAGAGCAGAGGCCTGAAAGGATATATGTACACCCATGTACATAGTAACATTATTCACAGTAACCAAAAGGTAGAAGCAACCCAAATGTCCACTGACAGATGAATGGATAAGGAAAATGTGGTATATATACACAATGGAATATTATTTAGCCTTAAAGAGGAAAGAACCTGAGACAGGCAAAAACATGGGTGAACCTTGAAGAAATTATGCTAAGTGAAACAAACTAATCACAAAAGGGCAAATACTGTATATTTCCACTTATCTGAGGTATTCAGAATAGTCAAATTCATAGATACAGTAGTTAAGCTAGGAGGAAGGAGGGAACTGGAAGTTATTGTCTATGAAGCTTCAGTTTGGGAAGATAAAATCATTCTTGACATGGATGGTAGTGATGGTTGCATAACAGTATGAATATACTTAATGGCACTGAACTGTATACTTAAAAATGGTTAAAAAGCTTAGCTCTGGCTGGGTGGCTCAGCTGGTTGCAGCATCATCCCTACACCAAAAGGGTGCAGGTTCGACTCTCGGTCAAAGTACATACCTAGGTAGAGGGTGAGATCCCTGAACGGGGCATGTATGGGAGGAAACTGATGGATGTTTCTCTTATATTGATATTTCTCTCTCTCCCCCCCTCCCCTTTCTCTCTAAAAATAAAAAAACAAACACATATCCTAGGGTGACGACTAAAAAAATGGTTAATTTTACGTTACGTATATTTTATCACAACAAAATTAAAAATAAAATGGAATAAAAGTTCCAATAATTAAAAAGTGTCTAGTATCTAAAAATAAAATTTAAAATATACAAGACCTTTCAGAAAATATTAAACTACTGAGGGACAAATACACAGTTGTGAAACTGTCAATTCTCCTTAAATTGATCAATTCTCTCTCAGTTGGGGGGGGAAGATTTTTGGAGGCAGGGTGAAGAGCTGCTAACGCAAGGAAATATTCAGTACTGAAGTTCATCTGTAAAAATAATTATATATATTTATACATATGTCCCACAATGGGACAGTATACACCTTTTAAAAAAAGAGACCCTGCAATATGCAACAACATGGGTGATCCTCTATTTTCTTACTAACTGAATTATAATTTTGTTTGATGCTGCAACTACATTTCTCAGTCTTCCTTACATTTAGAGGTGATCAAATAACACACCTGACAAAATAAAAGTAGAATATTTTAAGTGGAACTTTCAGAAAAGCTTCTACAAGGGGAGAGATTAAAACTGTCAAACTCCTATATTCCATATACCTGCTTGAAACTTGGACAGAGCTCCAGCAAACCACTGAAGTAGAGGAACTAAGTAAGTATGGCTGAAAAAAACAGAGGATGACTGGGCATCTTCAGATGTAAGAGAAAAATTCATCCTTTTGTTTAAGGCACTCTTGTTTGGCTTTCTGTTACTTGTGTCTAAACTTAACTGATAATAAAGTCATTAAAAAAGATTCAATAAAGTTGAAAGACCATTATCAAAATATTTTAAACATTTATGATGAGAGATTAACTGCATTGGTTAAAAATTTCTAACAAATAAAAAACAACAATGTGAATTTTAGGGAGACTTGGTTTCATTCATAATTGAATGTACAGCAAAACAAATGATTTTCACTTATTAGATTGGCAAAATTTAAAAAGTCTAATAATAACTACTGTTGGTTATTAGGTAATAAATTATAAATGCATACATTTTTCCCTATCTTCAAAGGACTTTCCCTCTGCCTTAATTCCCTCTCAATCTACCCACCCCATTTATCTTTCCTTTACTGCAAAATTGAACAAATATTTTAGTCTCTTTCTCCAATTCAGGACCATCAACTAACTTGCACTAAAAAAATTGGTTTCTGTTTCCCTCACTCAACTAAAACTGTTTTTTTCTAAAATGTCAAATGCCAAATTCAATGCCCTCTTTTCAGTCCTCATCTTCCTACACCTCTCTGTGGCATTTCATTTGGCATTACTGACAATCCCTTCCTTAAATGCTCTACTCTTGGCTTTGAAACTACACACCATTGGCTCTCTTATTTCTTACATTTCCTTTTAACTGACTTCCACCCACCAAGAGGTAGGGTGTTTTTGGCTTCTATCCTTGACCATAGTACCTATTACACTCTTTCCTTGGGCAATCTCACCCACACCAGTGTATCTAATTACTGATTTTATTATGTGTGATGATTATCACATCTACACCTCTGCCCTTGCAATCTCTAATTTCACACTTAGATTTCCTCTTGTCAACATTTTTACACAATGTTCTTTAACTCACTATATTCTCATCCTGTTGGGTATTACAACCCTATCTTCCTACTCGTAATCAACTTTTTCCTGTATCCTTCATCCTGGCATGCCTCTCTCCCCTTTAAGTTACCCAATTAAGTTTGACATCAACAACAACAAAAATAAATTAAAAACTCTCAATTTTAACAGCTAGCACTTAAAAGAGAAACATTAAAAATGTTCCCTTTAAAAATAAGGAAAAGGGATCCCATGACCACTGCTGCTGTTTGAAACTCTTACTGAGGTCTTAGCCACTGCAAAAGAAAACAAACTAAAGGTATAAGGTTGTAAAAGAAAGAACAAAATTGTCATTTACAGATGTTACACTTAAGAGAAACCAAGTCAGTAAAAATGATTAGCTCACTAGGGTATTATCAATATACAAATGGTACTTGTATTTCTAATTACCAGCAACAGTTAGAACTGTATTTTTAACTAAAGGACACCACTTACACAATACCTAGGGGAAAAAAAATCTAACAAAGATGTGCAAGACCTAACTACAAAAAAATTATAAAACTTTATTAAATAAAATGAATTTAAAAATATGCCTTGTTCATGGGAATACTCAGTACTGCAAAAATATCTATTTTCCCTAGTCTGATTTACAGTTTCAACACAATTCCAATAAAAATTCCAATAGGTTTTTTTAAAAAATAGAGCTTGATTTTAAAACATACATGGAAGATCAAAGACCAACAACAGTTAAGGCACTCGTGAAGAACAAGTTGCCCTCCCAAAAGCAAGACTTTTTATAAAGCTACAGTAATTACATGTGATAAGGGCCTGTGATATGTGATTGTCTGATGGAACAGCACCAGGAACCTAGAAACGAAACCACAATATAGAATTTTGCTAGAAAACAGAGGTAGCAATACATATCACTGGGGAAAGCAGAAACTATTCAATAAAGGGGCTAGGACAACTAAATATTAATACGGAAAATAATGAACTGGATCCCTCATACAACATAAAAATCAATTCCAGGTGATTAAGATATGAAATGTAAACCTTTAAAACTTTCAGAAGAAAAGGAGATCGGAAAGTATTTTTCTCTCTGGAGGAGGTAAGGAAAAACATCC